TTTTCTTACAAAATTCAATCTTACTACAAATAAATAACTATCAATTAAAAGCATGCTATGCTATAAAAATTGTTTCTTAAATATCTCTATAAAAGACCACTTACAAAAGAAACTGACAGAAAATCTTCAATAAAACCAACTTACCAATGGACACCTCAAATTCCACAGGAGTATCAGTTACACTAATCATAGTTGCATCAATGAAAGCTGCATGCAAGCTATACTTTCTTCTTCTACAGAAGGGCTGAAACAAATAGGAATTAGAATTCATGCCATATATTTACAGCTTATAAAGTAACATTGCATACCTTTTCAAAGGTATTGAATTATGATAACAAGGCAAAACAACACATACACAAACCTAAAGTACTTTTTGAATAATTATAACAGAAAAAATATTACACAACTTATAAAAGTAATGGATAAGCCAAAAAAACAAAACCAGCCTCTACTCGGTGAACATCATCATTTTCAATGGAAAATGAAGTCACATCAGGATATGCACCAATGTTGGTCCGCAGAGATAGCAGTAAACGCCCTCTATATGCACAACCTTCTCCTTTGCCTAGGTTAAGATCATCATACTCTGTACCTAGATCTGTGTATTCTCGAGGTGATCCATAAAAATTAACCCAACTTGGTCCAAAGCAAGGTAAGAAACCTGAGGAATACAGCACATGAGAATAACTTAGGGACCTCAGAATACTAGGCACTGTAAACTAACATTGAAAATTAAGACATAGTCAGAAGCAAGTACTGGGAATATTTTTAACTTCCTTCATACAGAAAATATCATCCATTTAGCTATGTCTGTATAAATTAACCGTTTTTACATTTCAATTCTGTTATTAGTCTAAACTTCAGTTTTACTACATTGTAATATAATTTTCAAAGATAACATTACAATCTCAAAAGTTAATATTTTCCTACATTTAAAATATATTTCCAATAGATTCCTACCTCCTGTCACATAACAGCTTTTCTCATTCAGTGCTGTCTTTTATATGCACAATTTTTTTTACTCACCACTAGTCTTGCATTTTCCACTTACCCAGTGTTTTGACATGGTTCAGCTTATTTGTAGCATAGAAATAAGCATGCAACAACACTCTGCCAATAGGAGAGCAACATGCACTCCTGTTGCAGCTGGCTCCCTCTTTACTACAAAATCCAATCTTCACTTCGAGATTAGAAGAACAAACTCATTGGACACTGCACCACATCTGAACCAGGTATACTCTTTGCCCATTGTGAAAACATACATTGCTAAATTGGGCAAAAAAAGAGGAGCACATCCTCGATCATAGATGTGTCGGCTGGTCCAGCTCCTTTCCAAAACTACTGGGACCAAAACTGCAGGAGATGATGGAATTGTTGTTGATTAGTTTGTTTAATATATAGATGGATGTGTCCCATGGTGTAGAATGGTTAGGGTGTATCAGACCATACTCAGTCAGTCAACTCCAATCCAAGCACCATTTTGTTTCAGCAATGCATCTTTGCAAGGAGCCTGCTGAAATACCTTCTTAAAGCTCCATGAGCATCAGTTAGTGTATGGGCATAAATTATAATAGACAAAGAATTTGAAAGGAAAATAAAAAATAAACTGTAAGTGAAAAGATAAAGACTTGAAATTACACATATAAGAAAATACAACTATTCTAATAGATTTCTAAGAAAAGTTGAAAGGTATGTATATATTTCCATTTGTTAACTTTAAACATTTCATTGCTCTGTATGTTGATATAGTAGAGAAAAAAAGAAAAGAAAATATAAACATTTACCTTAAAAACTTTTGATATTCACTTATGAGGTCCTAGAAATTATACCAATGAAATGTGAAACTGTAAGATAAAAAATATTTTTATACTTCATACAAAAATCATCTTGCAGGTGAACTATTCAAAGTGTGAATGCAAATAATTACATTAAATAACGAATTTTTTATTAGAAATAGTAGAAAAAAATTAAATGCTATATTTTTCTGAAACTATATACTTTTAGGAACGTTCTTATAAAATTTTAAACAATTTCATGTACTAGTTTTATTTTTGGAATGAAATATGACAAGAGCAATGTTACATGCTTTGAATCGTGGCATGTGGTTGCCATAAAGATTAGGGCTTGGAAGCCCATGTCCCCAGAAGAAAGAGAACCTTGCATGTAAATAGTGTAGGAGAGTATTGGGCTTTGAGTACCAAGTGCTCCACTAACTTTAGAAGAAGAGAAGGCTGGGCCCAACTGAGGAAGGAGTTGAAAAATACTTCCAGTTGGACAATATTGTGTCAGGGAAAGGAAGGACTTCTCCAATTTAATGAGCCATCCCACTCAAGTTGCTTCTTGAAGAGACAGCTGAGTTGCTTGTTGGGATGAAGCTAATAATGGCAATTCATCTATATACTGATGAAAGTTCAAATATTGTGCATGAAGTAGTCAAATAAAGACTCTGACTACTCAACAGAAAACATATGATGCAGACACTAGACTGAAAGGTAATGCATAGAACTGATAAATACAACCTCTTTGAACAAATCAAGGGTGATGTCTGGATGATGGTGCAATAGGAATGCATAGGTAAGCATCTGAGGCATCTACCTTCATCATTCACAGACCTGGAGTAAATGCCCACTGCAGAGTGAGGAATGATTCCATGATGAAACGGGAAAAGTCAATGAACTGGTTGAGATGTAATAAGTCAATCACTGGATGCCAGTTCCCTCCCATTATGACAAATAACCTAGAGTTAAACCCTAGAGAGAAAAGGCTGACAGGTTCTATAGCATCTTTGAGGAGTGTCTGAACCACATCAGAAAGATGCTGACTTGAAGTAGGATCCTGAGAAGAATGGTAGAATATTGGATATGTGGCCAAAGGAGGAGGATTGAGAAATTGAAGCGATAAACCTTCTGAAAGTACCAGAATCACTCATGGATCCAATGTGAAATCATGCCATAGGTGCACCAATCTGGATAAGTATTCTCCAACCTTGCCAGAACCCATGGGATAGTCACTAGTACCATTGGCAGCATGTGTTTGGCAGTGAATAATCCAATAACTCGCCACCAAAACAGGGGGAATGGAATAAATAAAGGGGTTCAAGAAGGAGGATGGAAAACAGAAATACGACCAGGAGTAGATGAAGGCTGCGACAATTGAGAGACCGAGGAAGAAATAGAGGAGTGGTGACGAGCAGCTTCCAAAAAAGGAGCCATCTGAAGATCTCATAGGTAGGTCACGGGTAGTCGCACATAAGTTAAAAAAAGTGTCCCTATCCAGGAGATCCCAACAGCAAAAAAGCCATGGTTGTAGGGAAAGGGCCAAGGAGGATTAATGCATCAATGTGGAGAAAATAAGATTACGAGTATCCCCCCAAAACCCTGTGAGGGATTGGTGGATAGCCTCTGTGAGGAAGTAAATAGAGGAAAGGTACTGCAGGAGGGTAGTTAGGGACAAATGGAGTCAGAAAAATTGAGCATGGGAGAGCCTCACAGAAGTATCAGGGTCTGAACCTCAAACTTGAATCAATGACTCCAGCTGTGAGGAGTCCAAAATCAGAAAATCCATTTGATCATATGCTAAAGCATATTGATCTTATATTTGAGGGGGACAAGGTATGCTGGCCCCTGCATGCAAATATACTTGAAACTGGTCAGCATGTACTCTGATATCTTGAGATGGGGGAAAAATGAGGTATTCCGAGGAAGATGCCGAGTGTAGAAGAGAATGAGAGGAGTCATACGAAACCAGAGATACAGAAAAAAATCTAAAACACCTGTGACACCATATCCATGAAGAGCAAGGGCAGCCTGGGAGCATCCACAAGAGAAACTTGGAACTGCACAGCATGGGAAGGAGGAGGAAAAAGGCTCTCTAAATCTTCATCATTCTGCCCAAATTCCACAGTAAAGGAATGTCCTGTCTGAGTTCTAGAGAAGCTGTTGATCACATGATGGATTCAAGTGCCCTTCTGACTAAGGCCAAGACCTTCTCAGCCAACAGTGTGGAACCAGAAGCCTGAGACACAGCAGTTGTTGTAGAAGTATTCACTACTTTGGTCATAGTGGCTTGAAATTCTGAGTTAATATTCAATTGTGGGGTATTTCCCAAGTAGAAAAAAAAATTACTGTCTTTTGTTTATTTAACTGAAAGTAACAAATCTATGAGAAGAAAAAATCGAGTAATCAACACAAAAAAAGAGGGTGGACTAAAAACTAACACAAGCAAAAATTTGTAGACATCTGATTTCTACTATGCCAAATAAAGAAGTGAAGATTGGGTTCTACAGTAAAAAGGGAACCAGCTGTGACAGGAGAGTGTCAATCACCTATTGGTGGAGAGTTGCACATGCTTATTTGCATGCTACAAAGCTGCTGAACTACGTCAAAATGGGGGAGCCAGAGTTTCAAGGCTAGGGGCAAGAGAAACAATTGTGAATAAAAAGAGCAGCATTGAACAAGAAAAGTTATTATTTGAGTAGAGGTAAGATACCATATTCGGAATCAAAAATCATTTAAATTTTCATTATAACTGACTACTGCAAGACCAATGATAGGCAGCTATCCCTTTTTAGTTTCTAAGTACTAAAAAGAAATAATTTTGCATGCCTTGTCAACAACTGTACTATGTAGTCAGTAAAAATAAACTTCCTAGGAAATGCTCTATACATTTATTCATACTTCTTAACAACATATTTTGTGCTAAGTGATATACTACAAAAGGGTTTGGCACTTAAAATTTTCTGATTTAAAAACAAAAAAAAAAAGATTCTTTCCTTCTTTGTTTCAGAAGTTTTACCCAAAGCTATAGAAAGGGCTATCTATGCAAAGCTGTCTGTAAATTTCAGCTGATACACTAGAGGCTAGTCCACAATACACACTAACAATTCTTCAATTACTTCACCCACCCACCCATCCCAAAAAAAGAAAAAATAGCAATGATAATTACATTATTAAAAGATAATCATAAAATGCATTTTATATATTGGTCATATTTTTCAGTCATATTCATATGAATTGATATATTTATAATTTAATTAATATCTAGTAGATCTTCCTTTTGCTTT